TTAATAAAATGCAAAATTAATTTTTATTTACTCTTCTTCTTACTTCCACAATTATAGTTTCTTCCTAACATCATTATCACCTTTTATTTCCTTGTTTTTCTCCTACAGGAATATGAGAATAAAATAAAATAAATGGTTGTGTTTGCCATATTAATTGTGTTTTAAAACTCTACTTTTTTTCGTTGACATTTATTTTTTATTGTATCTCAATCATTTTTGTCTCTCTGGAGTTGTTTTTCTTTCATTTCTCAGGTTTTCCCATTTATTGGCAGTATATAAGCTACCCCACCTCACCACCCCATCCACAAAGGCATAAAACAACCAGTAATCGTAAATTAATCTTTGGAATTAAAGCAATGATGTATTTGCCCATCACTTGCAGATGGGCAATGAATACGGCACGTCACTTTCTTGAGTTGTGCTGCTCCAGAGAGGAGGTGGAGGAAGTGCAGGATTGTGGTGGGGGTGGGCTATTGGATTCCTGCTGTTTATTTTATATGTTTGTTGCATTTTACCTTCAACATCCCCTCCACTCACTGGCCATCCACCCCCACCCGCTTCTGTTTCCCACTTTTATTCATATTTTTCCTTTCATTATTATTATTGTTTTGTTTTGTTTTTTTTTAAGTTCTTTCTTTCTTTCTTCATCTTGTCACTTTTTCTTTGGCTTTCACTGGAGAGCTATTAGATCCGTCCTGTCATATTTCATTCTTAGACCACTGTGTCCACAGTGTGGTGGGTGGATAGGGGCAGTGGTGGGGAGAGAGAAGAATGGTGAAAAACACCACCCAACCTGCAAAAAAATTAAAAAGTGACACAAATGTAGAGAATTATTATTCATTGAAACATTTCTGCCATTGTAAATATCTTTACATGCATACATATATATATATGTATGTGTGTGTGTCCTCATTTTGTTTTTCTCTTTTCTCCTTTTACTTCACTTTTATTGTGTAACTTCAAACTTGCTTATATATATATATATATATATATATATATATATATATATATATATATATATAGCTGTTACTTATCTTTATCAATTCCTCTTGGTCTGATTGATTTTTCTCTGCCTCCTATTGATGTGCTTGAGAGACTGACCTGTCACTCAATGGTCTCTTGAGGGCACAATTGGATCAGTCAGTCCACAACAGGAGAGATAGATGGTGCTGTCAGATAGACTGGCTCAGGTCATTGTTCCAATATTTCTTGTTGCCATCTATCATCTGGTTTTCCTTCCAGCAGTCTACCCCCAAACGCATATCCAGCCAGATACATATATTTGTATTCCTGCCAAAGAAAAGCTGATTCCATGATAGGCGAAGACATTTTTTTTTCCTTCATCTTTTTACTTCTTTACTCGATCCTATCAAAAGACGTTTCACCACAATGCCAATCTCAAATCGCAGACCGATTTTCTTTGACACGGTATAAAGTTTATATATATGTATATATGTATATATATATATATATATATATATATATATATATATATATATATATATTGACCAAACTTTTTTGTTTTGTTTGCTATATACAGCTGAAAATTTATATATTTTTCTTTTTTAGTTTCTGTATAGAAGTTGTATCATGTCATCTGTCAAGTGTGTCTGAGGGGAAGCTGATAAATTTCAAAAGTCTTCTTTTTCTGTCTACTCTTTGTATTGTCCATTTAGAACAAACAAAACAAATCATTTTTGAAAAATTACCATTGCTCATAAAAACACATTGAATTAGAAAACTGAAGTTAGTCTTTAAATCCATGGCCATTTTGCTGTCTGAGATTTTGCTGAGAAATCTAGTCGTGGTCGCTGATACTTTTAGTATCTGACTAACAGTCGTCCGACATCAACTGACTGACCAACTCACTGAGCAACTTCTACTTATTATAGGTGGGAGAGTCTATTAACTATAGAATAGGTGTGTTCCACCATAACAGTTAATCTTTACTCAAATACTGTAGACTACCAGTACTTGTACTGAGCCTAACTCCATAATATTGTAATTTATTAAATATAAATGATTATAGTCTTATATGTCATGAAATATAAGATAGTTGCATAAAGAACAAAACCACAGAAGGTAGTTGGGACAGGTGAGATATAGAAATATAATGCTCTAGTTCTCTTGGAAGAAGTGGGAAAGGCATACTTACCTTGAAAACCAACATCCAAAATATTGGCTTTTTTAGTGCTTAGTGGGGGTAGTGATCATTGACCACTGTGACTGGTTGGAAACAAAGCAATAATCCTTGCCACTAAGCAATATACATGATGCTCTTGTTATTTAATCTTAGATCCATAAGTCATTAATTTCAATCATGGGAAATTGGTTTTAATCTGTCACACTTGGAAAAGTAACATTCAATACATTGACTTATAGTAGGGCTGGAACCTCAACCTCTAACTACATTGATTAGGAATATATTATCATTTATAAGAAATTTTATGAGTTATGGTGTTTATTTTTGGCCAAAAAAAAAATTCATGGTTTCAATTGAATTCCAAAGAATATATTTTGGTGAATTCTATGCCACTTGAAGATTAGGGGTCAATCTATTAATTGTGGCTGAAATTTCATGTCATCTACAGTTGTAAAATGCTGACTAACAACCTAATTTTGATCAACTATTTCTATTCTAGATGAATTTGATCCTCACTGGGTTCTCTGTTCTTGTGGCAGACTTGGATAAGCTTAGAAAATTTGTCTAATGGAGATAATGAGATTTTACATGGATTAATAATGCTGTCCCATTATCAGATTTAATATTTTAAGTATTTTACAAGCATGAGATAAGTTGATTAGAAAAGTAATTTGAATCTTTTGTTGGTAAAATTCTTCTTTTAATGTTTACAAGTACAACTACATGAAGCCCAAAACTTGACCTTTGACCGGACCTGTACTTAGTACTGTTTTATCTGTAAATGCTTCATTGTATTGAAATCTTTTCAGGAAGTACAAGACATTTTGAGTTTGCTAATTGCCATTGTCTAAAGACTTTTGGAATATCTGTTTTTTTTTTGGGTTTTTTTTCTCACTCTCTACCCCCTTCAGTTGCTGCATGAAGAGATTTCCTTCCTTCCACAATATGGCTGCTTTAGAATCAGATTTGATTGTGTATTGTGTTTGGATATTTTTCACATGTTTTGATCAGGTTGATATCATTAAAATTTATCATTAATAAGATAAATGCTTGTGGCCCTATTATTAATAATTGGAGAAGTGGGGGGGGTTGCATATCTGATAAAGTTGGCTGTGACGGCAGAATGCTTAATGCTCTTTGCATTTGTAATAAATGATTGTTGCTTTATCTGTTTGCTAATGCAGACGTTTACTTAGATGATCGTTTGTACATGCAAACTATAAATCTATACAAATGACTTCCTTCAAACATTCACATGTTTGTGTGTGCGTCATTAAGTCTGTAGCCAAACAGGCATGTGTCGAATTTTAATCTAAAATTCTTATATTTGATAGAATGATGAATATTCATCACTAAATAGGAAATATTTGTGTAAAATGTATTTTTTTTATCATTTTATTTTTTTTTTTTTTTTCAATCCTCTCCCCCTGGCTATGGATCAACTAGTAAAACTTGTATGACTGAAACCATTATTATTTCTCCAGAAAATAATAAAATAAAATTCCATGCAGAATATTTAGATTTCGGCATTAACTAACCCATAGAGGTGTTGATATGCTGCTAAACCAAAACAACGAACCAACATTTCCCACTGTATCTTTAAGGGCACTGTGTGTTAAGATGCCAGCTGATACCTGATGGTACCAAATTTTATATATGTTATTCCAATATATACATACTTATTATAATGTTTAATTTATAAATTAATCATAATAATAGTTAAACTGTAATAACTAATCATAAAACAGAACAATTCTAACAATGTAATGTAATAAAAGTTGTGATGGAAGGTTCAGTCTTTCCAGAGATCTTTACAATCTCAGCCTGTTATTTTTGTTTTCTTTACCCTTTCTCACACTTAAGTTTCTTTTTGACAAATCCAAATTAACCAGCATGACTAATCTTGTATTTTGAGGCCCATTATTAAGGAAAACTTGTAACTTCTTTTATTTCTGGGTTTTAGTGCTGGGTAACTGAGGCCATGGTTTTGAGCTGATTACTGCAGATGTACAGAGATGTGTGTGCATGCTTCTTTATGTGTTTCATCCTTCAGGACTTCATCAGAATAAATTTATGTTGGTAGGACTACACATGTAGGACAGGGGTGCTGGGAATTTTTTTATCAGCTGAATCCATTTAGAGTATTTTCTTTTTCTTTCCATCACTTTTTTAAGTAGGTATTCCACACTGTGATATTAGAAGATCTGCCAGGAATGGTGAAATGTTTTAAGAGCCAAGACACAAATTTACTTTGGATGATGTTTTATGTCAAAGTTATTGTCAGTCTCATTACAGAGGGAAACCAACATATTTGATGTATTATTTTGTAAAATGTCCCTTTTGTGTTCATATAATATTTTAGATTCCTTGAGGTTTCTCCAATGTATTTTTTGTGACAATTATTACAGGCTTTTAGCTTATTGTTTTCTTTAGTATTGATTAAGTCTGTTATTGTTTTGGATGTAGCAGTAACAAATTTTATGTTCAGTTTAGATAGATTCTTTTTGATTGTAGATGTCTTAGAATTAGTAGACAGGATATATTTTTTTTGATTCATTGGGTTTCTCAAGAGGGGCCATTTTTTTGTTTTGGAATATTTTATGGACCTTTGTTTTGCATTGAATATAAAATAATTGGGGTACTGTAGAATTTTAAAAGGATTTTCAATGTATTTCTCCTCTTTGTGTAAATAATCTGAGTTGCATATTCTTAGAGTTCTTTTAGCAGAATCTAATGATTATACCAGATTTGATTTTATTGTTATGAGTAGAATAGAAATTTATTAGGTTGTTTTTTGTTGGTTGATTTCCAGTGGACATCGGTTTTAAACTGTTGTTAATGCAATGTAGCTTGATAT